GATCAGCTGATTGGCCAATAAACAGCTGCCCCCCCACAGCCACCCAACCTCACAGCCCACCTCACCCCCTTACTTTCCTTACTTTAGCTCTCCCCCACTAACACCCCCTTCCTATTAAAAAACATAAAAAACACATGAATATTTAACCGTTTTTATTTGTCCTTTATATTAAAAAAAAAACATTCTGCCTATCAGCCACTGATCAGCTGATTGGCCAATAAACAGCTGCCCCCCCACAGCCACCCAACCTCACAGCCCACCTCACCCCCTTACTTTCCTTACTTTAGCTCTCCCCCACTAACACCCCCTTCCTATTAAAAAACATAAAAAACACACAATTATGCCTACACATGTAAAAAGGGAGATGGGCTGCCCTTTGCAAAGATGGTGGCTGTGGCTTCGATTAGGGTAGGGAAGCTGCAGCTGCCATCTTTGCAAAGGGCAGCCGGATTCCCTTAGCCTACTTTTCCCCCCCTGTTGTTGAGTATTTTCAGGTACTGAATAAGTGAATTAGCAGATACTGATCCCAAAGATGGGAGTGTGGTCTTACTGTACTACATTAGTCCTTTTCCTGAACACATTCCTGATCTTTGCCAGTGTCCCACAAAAATGTGCCCTTCTTCTGATATTATTCACAAATATGCTATTTACTGGTGCTTTTTTTAATTTAAAAAAATCTAATTTGCCCTTTGCTGCCAAAAAGACTCCACTTTCGGGAAGCCACCTCTCTCTTTCCATTATTCTGAAAAGTGTCATATACATTGATGGAGCAACAGCAAAAACAAATGAAAACTCAGGTCAGAACTAACATGTGTAAAAAGTTTATTACCGTTCAGTGTTATTCCATAGTTTATATATAAACTTAAACAAATCAGGTATCTAATAAAAACACAATGTATTAGATTAAACTATAAGTACCATGTTTCCCCGAAAATAAGACAGGGTCTTATGTTAATTTTTGCTCCCAAAAACACATTAGGGCTTATTTTCAGGGAATTTTTTTTCATGTACTACAATCTACATTTATTCAAATACAATTATGTCATCTTCTTCTGGTTGCTGCACAATGGTGGAGGACGGGCTTTCACTTAATTGGGCTTATTTTGGGGGTAGGGTTTATATTCTGAGCAGCCTAAAAAATTCATATTAGGTTTTATTTTCAGGTAAGGTCTTATTTTCGGGGAAACAGGGCAATAACCATGAAATGGACATAAAGACATACTACATAAAAAAATAATTTTATTCAAATTCATATTTAAAGATTTCATTTTTACTTATCAGTTTTACTTGTAACAAGCACTATATCTACAAGGGTGGAAAATTTAGAAGAAACTACTGATATGCTTCATATAAATCTTTACATACATGTTTATAATTTTTTTAAAAAGCCATAATGTTCTAGTTGTCTTATTGAGCAATTATAAAAATATACTTTCCCTTTGCAATATCTAATAATGCTAGAATGGAGGGGAAAAGGTAGAAAAACCTAACTTCTTTTTTGGAAGGAGCAAGGGACACATGAGCTCACTAGTTGTCTTATTGAGCAATTATAAAAATATACTTTCCCTTTGCAATATCTAATAATGCTAGAATGGAGGGGAAAAGGTAGAAAAACCTAACTTCTTTTTTGGAAGGAGCAAGGGACACATGAGCTCACTAGATTTCTTACACGTATATACATGATAATTCAGACTAAATAGTGCTAATATAATCATTAAAATTGGTCAGTGAACCGTATATGAATTGAGAGAACCTAGGACAATATGGTACTCATAAAATGAACATAGCCAACAAGTTTGAAGTACGACTAAAGTAAATATGTGTTCCCGACACTATTGGACTATATTAAATTGTGCTTTTGAACTGTAGCAGCATTTCATCGTGTCCAGGAGGCAGGATTTCGGTTCTAAGCAAACATTTCCAGCATATTTATTTCTCAGACAAGCCTGAGAAATTAAGGTTAATGTGATTTTAAGTGAACAATCTGAAATTAGTTTTACATTTTAGAAACTGATGCTGCAAATATATATCATAGATACATTCAATATAAACAAGGGTCAATATTTTGAAAGGGCCACAGACAAGGAATAACTGCAGTTCAAAAAACGAATTATGCAGTCTACATATAAAGGAAGACCAAACTGCTTGCTACATACAGGATAGCAACAGAATCCAGCATGGGAGTTCTACTTGTGAAAGTTGATGTCCAAACACACAGATTAAATAGAAGTATACTTTGATGAGATTCCATATTTCCACACTGATCATTAACATTCACACATCCCTACTGTAAGATACTCATATCTTGAAATACCGTTCATCTGATTTACAGTTGTTATTGTGCAGATATAAAACACATTAGAAATAAACAATGAGAAGACACATGAGAAGACAAAAATATGATACAACCTATTCATTATAGCACAGATACCATCTTGCTGCTTTCCTAGTGTAAATATGTATGCAGGATTTTCCTATATGACTGAACTCTTGTGGATTGACTGCAGTCCTGTCTATTCAGCATCAGAATGGCATCTACCAGCAGAATTAATTTCTCCTGCACATCTGCTCTGGGTCATTTAGGTCAGTGGTCCCAAATCTTGGGCCTCCAGATGTCCTTGGACTACACCTCCCAGAAGCCTTCACCACCACCTCTGCTGGCCAGGATTTCTCGCAACTGAAGTTGAAGGACATCTGGGGGCCCAAGGTTGGGGACCACTGATTTAGGTGACCTCCCCAGTAGAGGGCTGACCTGTCAAGTTACTATCTTGTCTTCAACAATACCGTAACATGGTTTCTTTTGTTGAGCTATTTATGAGTTTTGTATTAATTATCTGCCAAACTGTTACTGCAGAAACTGCATCAGATGGATTATTTATGCATTATTTTAAATTTTATATGATTTGTTACTCATGTTTTTTGATAAGTTGCCATATTTTTGTTATTACGTTTGAAACATAAATTCAGCTTCATTTCTCTGTAGTAAGTAAGGTAAGTATTGCTTTAATCGTAAAACCTTGATACAGTATAAATATTTGGGAATTTTAATGAAAGATCTCTCCTTCTTGGATGCATACCTTGACATGTAGAGGGAGTTTGAATATGTCAGAGAAACCGAAAGCAATGCTGTCAGGATGCTAAACTCCATAACAATTCTGGACTCCTTGCAAGGGTTACCCAGGGCAGAGTGTTCACAGTTGAGGCACTGGACTAAGATGCATCCACCCTCTTCATGCCATACCAGCAGAAGAGAATGGATGGATGGGGTGGAGAAACTTCTGGAGGGCAGCTACTAAGCAGCAGTGGTAGCTGAAGGTGATAGTGATGGCAGTAACACATAAGCTAACTTTCTGCTGTGCAGAAGAAGGGAAAGGTAAACCATTGCTGAAACTTTCTTACCTTGAAAACCCCATAATGAGACAATCCAAAATGAAACAAGAGATAGTTATGGAAGATAAGACCACCCCCCAGGTCAGAAAGCATTCAGCTGCTTGGGAAGAGCAAAGGACAAGTAGGAATAAAGCAAAAGCAAAGCATGCTGCTTACATACCGCCCCATAGTGATTAAAGCACTCTTTTTAAGCACTGTTACTAATGATGCAACTAGATTAAAGCCAAAAGGATATCTAGTGGCTGACTTGCACAGACGTGAAAGGCAAGTCCAATGCTGCACAACTGGAACATGGAGTGTGAGAAGTATGAATCAAAGTAAACTGGAAACTAAAGCAAGAAATGACATGTTTCAATATTGCTTGGTGTCAAAGTTCCAGTAAAGTGGACTGGAATGGGATATATTCAGTCAGACAACTACAAGTATTCTACTTTGGAAATGACAAACATAGAAGAAATGGAGTCTGGAATGGGATATATTCAGTCAGACAACTGCAAGTATTCTACTTTGGAAATGATAAACATAGAAGAAATGGAGCGATGCTAACACTAAGACAACATGTAGTACATGTAATTAGTGGCTATAATGCAAGGTCTTACCAAATAGACTTCTGGAAAAACCTATCAACATAATCATTATTTAAGTCTATGTTCCAGCTACAGATGCTGAAGAAGATGAAAATGAAAGCTTTTATTTGAACATTCAGGAGGAAATACACCAAAATAAGACATACTTATAATTATAAGTGAGTAGAATGCAAAAGAAGGAAACAAAGCAGAACAAAATGTTGCTGGAAAATTTGTTTAGGGATCAGAAACAAAGCAGGAGAACAACTTATACAGTTCTTAGCAGGCAACAATCTGCTTATCATAAATACATGTTTCAAGCAACCAAACAGATGAATATACACTTGGATATCACCAGATGGCAAATATAGACATCAAATAGACTACATACATAAATGGAAGCAGGATAGAAAAACTTCGTTCTCTCTGCTGAAACAAGATCTGGGCATACTGGTTAATATCTAACATTAAATTAAATACTTCTGATGAATATAAAATTCCACATGTAACAGATTTGCATTAATAAACTCAGTTGACTACAAAACATAAGAACTGTGATTGAATCCAAAGATAATATTGGGGAAGAATGCAAAAAGAGAATTCCTGTATTAAAAAGAAAAGACAACCCTAAATGGACAATAGAAGAAACATTTAACATTGCTAAGGTCAGGTGAGAAGCAAAAGCAAAAAATAAAAATAAAAAAAAGATAGGAGGGTCAGAATCCTGACCACAGCTTTTCAGTGACTAAAAGAACTTTTATAATAGCCAATGCAAAGAAACAGAAAAGAACAATGAAGGAGATCTCTTCCAGAAGATCTAAGGATTCCAAGAGAATTTTATGCCTAGACTGGGAATACTGAAAAACCAACAGAGAAGCACACTATCTGACCAAGAGAAAATAAAGAGAAGGTAGAAACAGTATACTGTATACCTATACAGAAGAGATAAAAGGGTGACCTTTGAAGAAGAATCGTCATTATCATTGTCATATTAGAACTGCAGAGCTGCAAAGGGACCCATTGAATGAGTAAATCCAGCCCCTGTCAAAGAGGCCCAGTGGGAAATCAAGCATTCAACCTCTGGCCCCACAGGCAGATGCATATACGACTGAGCTAACCAATCCTATGATGAAAAATCTGAATTCTAAAAAGTGAAATAGAAGCTGCTCTGAAAGCACTAGGAAGAAATAAATAATCAAGGGTAGATGGAATACCAATAGAACTATTTCAAGTCACAGACAATGAATCTGTCAAATTCCTAACAAGAATATGCCAACAAATATGGAAAACAAAACAATGATTCTCAGACTATCAGAAGCAAACTGACAGCACATAACAACCTCAAAATATATTTTCATATAAATGTATGTCAGAACTTCTGAAACACAAAAATATATACACATTTATGTTCTCAGTTACATTTTCTGTATCTCCAGTTCTTATTCCATAAAGCATCCCCTATCCCACAAAGCACACTGACAATGGTTCCAAAAGACCAATGAATAGAAATTTGACTCCTCAGACTCTTGTTGTCACTTCCATTCTCTCATCTCACTATGAAATTATTATATATCTTATGCTGAATGTCACTAGCGTTGCACCAAACACATTTCCCCATATTAGGAATAAAGATTCTGCTCTAAGTAACTGCATCCTCACAAAAATGCCAATTTCAAGTACAGTTCCAATTTAGAAAATTTAAATGTTGGAACAGGGGGTTATACTAAGTCTAATATAACAATGTGAATTTGTTTATTCTTTTATCTCTCTTTGAATCAAGGCATCATCCCTTTCTGAAGGGATCTGAGATCATGCTTTTCTCCCCAACTGGCATTTCATTTTTGTGTTCATCCTCTTATCAGTGGGCACTTGGGGGACTGGCATTCAAAATGCCCTATATGTAAATTTGCAGCAAATTCAAATACTGTAGTATTTTTCCCCTTCAGAAATAATTGTTCTTCATTAGGTCAGTCATATTTAAAAAGAGAAACTGCTCTATCTGAAGATGCTTGATTGGTGATCAATACTCAAAGCACATTTTATCGAACACTGTTTGATTATTCCTCATATGGGAATCTTCACTCCTCTCCAACAGGAGGCGGTGGCTGACAGAGCTTGTACAACCTGCCAAAAAGAAAACAAACAACAGCTTACAACTGAAAACTTTTTAAGCATATTGTGATTACTTTTCACTGACTAGAGTCAGAAGGAAGCAAATCAGAATGAATCAGAATGAAATTGGTGCCAACAGCAGTCTGTGCATTCTTCATTAAGTGAAACAAAAATTTAGCATGGCACCAACATAAAATGCAGGTAATGTGTAACATACTTTCAAAGGCTCATTGTCATGAAATAGGCTTTTTAATGAACATCTCGCCCTCTCTTGAGGAAGCTATATCTACCCATTTTAAGGTCTATCAAAAAAGTTCAGAGGTATTAATACCTTTTTGCCTGTGATGACTTTGCTGTACATTTGAACATAATGGTTGAAATTCCATTGCACAATGACCAAATTTGAGAACTGAACTGCTGTACTTAAAAAAGAAATCTTCCTACACAGCATCAGTTGAAATTTAAGCAGGTCAATTTAACATTTGTGTTTCTAACAGCTTAGGCATAGGCAGACACACACACTTTTTCTGGAGGCATTCTGAGACTATTCTGCTTGCCCAAGGTCATACAGGCTGACTCTCTAGGATGGACAGTGGACAATCTAACTCCCAGCCTCTGGCTCTTCAACCAAATGCCTAACTCATTGAACTATAAGTAAGTAAGTAAGTAAGTAAGTAAGTAAG